TATTGCTATATATATATATATATATATATATATATATCATGCCCTTAGAGAAAGTCCCTCGAGAAAAGTAAATTTAATCAACTTACCTCAATTCCAAGCTCCAAATTGACTAACATACTCAAACATTGCCAAACAAGCCGATATCTACATAATGAACTCATATACATCAACGATGCGTTACGGCAATACCAACTAAGTCAACTAAGTGTTCAATACTTAGGTCCAACTTCACAAGTCTAGTAAAGATTCATATTCTCATCATAGATGTCGATACTTGAGTTGTTAACTCTAATTCTCTCATTTTGAGGTTATTCAATCATGAATTGCTCACAAATAAAGAATAGTATTTAACTCATTTTTACCAAATCAACACTATTTATCGTTTTCTTCGCTTAGCTCAACAATGGTGAAGAATTATATATTTTAGGTCTTGTTCAATCCATGGGATACTTTAGTATTTTTTAACTAAAGAACCACCAAACAACTTAACAAAGTTCACAATTTTATTATTCACCATCTTTCTCTTTCAAGAACCCTAGCTCACAATACCCATTTTCAAGACTCGTGTAATATTCCAAAGAAGTAACATTTTCTAAATCACAATCTCCTCCACATACATAATCCATAATTATATGCAAGTATAGAGTAGAAAAATTACCTCTTAAAGTCAAAATCCTAACTAGGGTTCACTTGGTGTTCTTGAAGATTTGGATCAATTCCTATGAATTTTAATCCATGTAGATGTTAATACTAGTATTAATCAATGTTAATCCATCATAAAAATATCATGAAACTCACCTTTTAAGTGTATTTGGGTTGGGGATGCTCCACCTTCTCTCTAGAACCCAAGACTTAGCCAAAAATATCATCTCTTTCTCTCTCCCCGAACTTCCCCTATTTTACAGCACATGCGTCTGGGTGGGCCACGCATCCTAGCCAAGCAGCATGTGTGGGCCACCTAACCCGGTCACGTAGCTTGAGTCCTTTCTTCTACTCTTCCTCCCTTCTTCTGGAATAGGCCACGTAACCTGTGTGGGCCACGCAGGG